GTGAGAACTCAGGCCGCCTTGCTTTGGAGCCTGGGCTCCTGACCATGCTGACTCTCAAAAGTCCTACATGCTCTTTGGTTATTTTCATGCACAGAACTGAGCTCCCTTCTAGGTCCCTGGTTTGATTCTTTGGGTTGAGAGGATGTTTGGTCTGGGGAATCTGAGCATAAGAAGAGAACGTGGAGAGAGAGTGGTGTGTGAACTGGCCCTTTACAGCTGCCTTGGCTCATGGGCGAGGCTGTGGACCCATTCTTACAGCTTCTATGCTCCCTCAGGCCGCCCCAGAATGGGTGGTTGGGAACTGAAATCCAGCTCAGCTTCCTCTGTCAAGCCCAAAGGGGGTGCCCTTTTCCAATTCTGCAAAGACTCTGTGAGGGCTAACTCTGGCCTGCCGCCCTGCACACCACCGCTGCAGTGACCTCCCATCCCTCCCAGACGCCCTGCTCTGCCTTGCCTGATCTCCAGTGCAGACCCAGCACTTCAGAGCCTGTTTTTGCCTCCGGGCCTGCCCCGTGTAGATCTGAGAATTTGTAGGGCCAACCTGGTTCTCCTTGCCCCACATCCTGAAGCTGTGGGCATGCCCCACCTCAGGCTCACGCCCAGCTGCCAGAATCTAATACTAGGAGGTGGTTTCAGGTTTCTGACTTTCCTGGGAGGGGAATTCCAGCTAAACAGAGCATTAGGGAAGAAGGAAGAAGAACAGGAATGAGAAGAAGAGAGGAAGAAATAGCAGGGGAGATGGACTGCCCATCTGAGGTCACTAAGTGAAGCCTTAGGAGAAAGGGGCCACACATCTCAGGCTAGATATAAGCCCTACCCTCTCAGTGGGAGAAAAGTAGGACTAATGGGCTCAGCAGACATTTACAAAGAGATATAGAGCATTGGGTTTTCAATTTCCCGAAAGTTACCTGTAAGAAATATTAAAATGGCAGATATGAAATCAACTAAATGTATCCTTGGAAAGCTAACGTCTCTGGCCAGAATAAGAAATAAAATGACGTTTGTCTCTTTTTAAAAGATTCACCCCTTCCCACAATACGGGGGATTCGTGTCTGGGTTTCTGCATATGTGTCTTTAGGTGTGCCCACTTGCGTGTGCCCATGCCGGTGGGTGACCGTGTGCGTTTGCATGTGTGCCTGCATGTGGGGCTCTCTGCCTGCAGCATTAGGAAAGCACAATGTCGCAGTTGCTTTGGAAACCGCATTCTTGCCCTGGCACAGCTGGGGACGAGGGGGCGTGGCAGGCTGTGACATGACTCTGTGTGGCTGTGATTCTCTCAGGGATGTGGTGGCTCTCGGACTGTAGGTTCCTTCTCTTTAGTCCGTGAATACACATGGGCCATGTGGGATAATAGGTGCGGGGAGGTCTTTTTCAACGAAGTTTTGAAACACTCATTTGAAGGTAAATCTGGAAAAGAAAGCCAACTGGTTGTGTAGACGTGCTCTTGGATCCTTGTTTCCTACTCTCTGAGGAATGCACCAATTTTTCCCTTCAGTGAGGTCTCTTCCAGAGGAGGCAGGTACTGGGGCATGGTGGTGCCCCTTTTGGGCCACTGGGGGACACGATTTAGGGCATCCCAGGGAGTGTCCTATATCTGTTTACATAATGGAATGTTAGCAGCCACATTGTATTTTGGGGTACAGAGGATTTTTGTGATCCCTACTGCAAATGAAACAGATCATTGTTTCATTGGCACATTGAAGACAGGACCTGCCTTCAATGTGTCTCACCCGGCCAGAGAGACAGCCTAGTGGGAAAGCTTATAAAGACAGATGTTGATTTATAAGGAGTGTGTGCTGGTGCACTTTTTAATAAGGTGCTTATTCTTATACTTTCATAAATAATATCATTAAATCATTAAAGAAATCTAGGAGCTAGACTGTGAAGATCCAGGATGAAAGATCCAGTCCATGTTCTGAAGGAGTTCACAGAGAGTGGAGAGAGTGTTTAATTCAAGAGATAATTGCCACAAAGTGTGATTCCTGCTAAGGAAGGAGAAGTACCAGGTGTGGTGCAGCACCTAAGGGGGAGGGCAAACCCAGCGGCGGTGGGGGTGGCAAGCTCTCCCGCCCCTCCCCCAGCCCGTTCCTTACTCATACTAGCTTGGGAACTTGTAGTCCCTGACCAGCGAGTCAGTTGAGAGGAGAATGGTAATGAGTAAAGGAATGTCAATGTCAGTGTTACTTGGGGGAAAAAACCCCACCCCAGCAGGCTCTGCTGGATTGTAATCTGACAGATAAAGGCACTGACTGCAAACTGGTACGGCCGTTAGTGAATATTAAAGTGACTTTGCAAGTGGCCACCGAAGGGGAGTGAGAACGCGCGAACTAATGATCATGACAGGAAGAGCTGCCATTTGTTTGGTCTGCAGGATGGCAGGCACTGTGCGCAGAACTCTGCATTCCTCATTTCATTTAGTCCCCACTCATTCTTGTCCCCAGGGCGTAGTTGAGAAAACTGCACCTCAATGAGGTTAATAGGTGCCGAAGCTTCAGGTCTACATGTCTTGAAGGCCTGAGTTGTTTCCACCGTCCCTCACACCCACGGCAGACAGACAGACAGACAGACAGTCTATGCACATCAGTTGTAACGGGCCTCTTAGAATGTGATCAAAATCAACTTTATCTCCTTCTCCCCTCTGCCCACTCCTACCCCTGTCATGGGACAAGTTCTTCTCTGCCCCTAGTGGAAGCTCAGATGGTCCTATAGCTTTTCCAGCCACTCTCAGATAATACAAAATACCCTGTTATAATATCCTGAGAGTTCTCATTTCAGTAATTGGTATGTTCCATCCAATGTAAGGATACAAAATCCAGACCTCCCTAACGGTAAAACTTCTGCCCTGCTCTCCCCTAGCTGCGCCCCCTGTGGGCAGGAAACTGGCAGCGGGAGAGGCTGTGTGGTCAGCTTCGCTGTTCTCTGCCTTTGCCTCCCTCAGCTTGGTAGGCAGTTTCAGACCCCTCCAGGGTCCAAATGGTGGAGGGAGGAGGGAGAAGGGGACATGAAAAGTCTTACTTGGCAGGTCCTGTCTTCAATGTGCCACCATATCATAAGGTTGCATGGGGGGAATATCATTTTTGTGTGTGTGTGTGTGTGTGTGTGAGGAAGATTAGCCCTGAGCTAACATCTGATGCCAATCCTCCTATTTTTGCTGAGGAAGATTGGCCCTGGGCTAACATCCGTGCCCATCTTCCTCTATTTTATATGGGACGCCGCCACAGCATGGCTTGACAAGCAGTGCATCGGTGTGCGCCCAGGATCCAAACCTGCGAACCCCGGGCTGCCAAAGCAGAGCATGTGCACTTAACCGCTATGCCACTGGGCCAGCCCCAAAGAGAATATCATTTTAGCTCAAAAATATTGGCAGATTTTATTTAGTTTTGGAGGAAAGGGATCACTGGGAAATAGTAATGATTGCTAAAACTAACTGAGCCCATTTCCTGTACTCTACAAGCACATACTCACCCAGGGTGGCTATGATTACTTTTTCCCACTTTATTGTTGGGGAAACTGAGGCTCTAGGAGATGAAGTGGGGAAACTAGGCTCTGGGAGATGAGTAATTTGTCAAGGTCAGATAGCTTGCTAGGTGGGAGGCCAGGGATTTGAGCCTGGAACGTTTGACTTCAGAACCTGCTCTCTTAACCACTCTGCTATCTGAAGTTGGGTATCTATCAGGAGACAAATGTATTATTCCATACCAACTTGACAATTTGCCTTCTTTCTTATTCTAGGAAACACTACCGACCAGATAGCATTTCTTTTTAATAACTGGTATCAAAGCAAATCTAATGAAAATGTGTAACTTGAAAAAAACCCAACACTCTCTGAAATTGTAGTAATTTATGATCATAAGGGGATTTCTTGTGTTTGAAAATAACCAACAACTCAATTGGATGGTATGTAAAGACTTAGGAAAACAAAATAAATCTCATGGGAACTAATTTGTATAACTAGAAACTATCACAAGAGAATTATTTCTTGTATTGTATGATACTTGGGAGCATATTTCATACCATCGAATTTGCACCCAGAAATAGTTTGTTGTAGCACGTAAGACATCCTACCCCCACTTGTGACCTATAAGAAGAGAAGAATTTATCACCGATAATGGATTTTGCATGTAAAGCTATTTCAGTTGTTGCAATTTGTCCCTTAATGCTTTAGTTTCGTTGGTACTCACAGAAGCATTGAAACACTTTTTACATATTACAATTCCCCAAAGCATTTTTAGTTCAAGAGATTGGAATATTTTGGGTGGAAGCGGGCGTTTTGGAGTGGGTGCCTTGCATATGCCAGTCCTCACCTCTTTGTTCAAGCCATTACCTCTGCGTGGTCTGTCTTCACTGTCTCTACTTGTTGAACTCCTACTCATCATGCAAGGCCCACACAGATTGTCACCTCTTCATGGAAGCCTTCCTAATTGCTGCAACCAGATGGGCTGTCTGCCCCCATTGGACCATAGAGAGTTTTATAATTTGCCTTTGCAACATTTTACCTTGTATTGGAGTTGCCTATCTTTGTGTCATTGCCCTAATTAGAGAGTTCTCACTTAGTAGGTAGCATAGCCGAGCTCTACGGCCCATGGGCTAAATCTAGGCCACTGCTTATTTTTGTACAGCCCTTGGGATAAGAATGGTTTTTATATTTTTAAATGGTTGACAAAAAGTCAAAAGAAAAATAATATTTCATGACACATGAAAATAACATTCAGATTTCATTGTCCATAATTAAAGTTTTATTGGAACCCAGCCATACTCATTTGTTTACGTATTGTCTATGGCTGCTTTTGCACTAATACAGCAGAGTTGAGCAGTTACTCACACACCATCTGGCCGGCAAAGCCCAAAATATTTTCTATATCTGGCCCTTTATGTTTGTTGACTTCTGCTCTAGAGCAGGTGTTCTCAAATTTTGGTATCTATCACAATAACCTGGAGGGCTCATGAAAACACAGATTTTTGGGCTCCACTTCTATAGTTTCTGATTCAGCAGGTCTGGGGTGGCCCCTGAGAATCTGCATTTCTAACATGTTCCCAGGTGATGCTGCTGCTGCTGCTGCTGCTGGTTGGGACCCACACTTTCAGAACCACTGGTCTGAGGTAAAAGATGGTCTTTGAAATCACAGACACATCTTTAATAATTTGTTATTTATCAAGCAGTTAACCTCTCTGAATCTCAGTTTTTTCATCTGTAAAATAGGGCTAATGAAAATCTGGTCAGATTGAAGATTCAGCAGATGAAGTCTGTGAAAATTTCTGCAACACGTAGTAGAGATTCAATAAATGGCCATTTCTTTCTTTTCCTCCTTCCCTCCCTCCTTCCTTCTTTCTCTCTCCCCGCCCCTTCCCTCGGAGAAGGGACTGTAGATACTTATTTTCACACTGACTCTGAGTCGCCTTTCCTGGCGAGGCTGCTTTGGAATTTTACAGCAGTGTACACCTCACGATGTGTCTGCCTCCAATATGGCGCTTGTCATGTGAACCAAGCAAGGCAGGCTGGGAAAACCATTCTTACTTACTTTACTTGAGTACATGTTGTGTACAAGTTTCTGTACTAAGGAAGAAAACTAAGATCAAGGACTAAAAAAGAGATCATCTGAATACCTCTCAGAAGTTTTCATGATAAAGGCAGCGGCCAGGGTTTAAAAAATTAATGGTTGCCCTTTAGTTAATTGTAATCAGGTAGTTTTGTCTCCTTTCCCAGGAAGAATAATAAAGGGCAAGTGCTTTAGAAACAAAACCACGCTGAAATCTTTACGGAACCAGATATGAGCGCACTCAAAAGAAATATGGGTGGTTTGAAAGAAGCATTTTTCTTAAGCCTGGTTTTAAAACTGTGGTTAAATTAAGCACACAAAAATACTAAGTTTTCCCTAGGAATTTCTTTTCCTTTAAAACTTAGCCATTCTTGCTTCATAAAATTGTTATGAGAATCAAGTGAGATAATTAATATAATTGTATTTGAAAATTATAAAGTACTGTTTAAATGCAAGGGAAATCAGGTTTACCACATTAAGTCACAATCTAATTAGACAAGAGAGTGCAATTTATTGGATGAATAGTGGAGGATGCAGAGAGTTACATGGACGCTGGGGGACCTCACTTCTTTCCATCTTAGCCACTGGGAATCTGTGCACCTTAATTTACCTGTTAAGCTAATTATAGAGAAGGCCTTTTCACCTTCTTGCTATCCGATTTCTTACTTTCTTTCTCTATATGTGGCAGAACCTGAAAGATGAAGAATTAAGAATTAAGCTCATACAGTTTCTCTTCACATAGGGCACGAAACGTCAGTTGTTTACTTCCCCTTAGCCCTAGTTAGAAAGAGGCACTTTTTCACTTTACAGTTTTGCTTTAGTGCCTCCTTCCCATTAGCTCTTTGACTTCTTCGGCTGTGGCTACATTTACAAATCATGTTTATGTCAGTGACCTCCTTCTACCGAGAAAAAAATGTTTTTAGGCAATGGTATGCTAGTAAATGTTTAACAACTGGCTCTCTGGGAAAATCTTTATGCCTGTAAGTTTACTGTCAATATCACTCGTAGAGAGGATGTGTAGCATACAATAACGATAAAATACACAGTACTCTTCATTGTAAACTCTATGTAACTGGTTGATTTTCACAGGATGCTTTGGCTGATTTGTGTCAAATTCTTGTATCCATAGCCAACCTATGGTTGCAATTGACCGACAAGTTTAGTTCTAGCATAAATGTTGGTTGATATTTTCCTATATGTTAACTAGTAAGATGAAAGTGAAACAACCAAAGATGTTTGTAAGGACGTTTGCCAATGATGTGAGCGACTCTCTTGTTGAATCGGATAATAGCATTTAACTACGGGAAGACTATTTCCTTAATTTTTTGTGTGATTATGACTACAGACACAACACATTTAATTTTAATCTGCATTATTAACGTTTTTTTTCCATCACTTTCTTAAGCCTAGATGACCAACAAGACAATAAATCAAGGCCTGATTTGTAGCATTTGCCAATTTCTGTGGTGTAAATATTCCCATTGCTATGTACTTAGGCCACTCCACTGACTTGAGACTTAGCCCATTGTTCATCAGTGTCGGGGCAGGACATCCAGATGGGGTATTCTCTGGCTCCCCCTGGCTTGCCCTCCCTTCTAGTCTCTGTCCTCCAAATTGGGAATATCAGTTATATTTTCAATGTTCGCTATGTATTCTTCACTAATTTTACTTCTTTTTCTTATTTCTTTCAACTTTAGGGAAGAGAGTTTTGGATATCTGCCTTGCAGCTATCATTCTTAGGAGTTTCTCACATTCTGAACGTTGTAGAGAATTTTAAACATAGTAGAGAGGAAGAAAATGAAGAGCAGTCATATTCCAATTTCTCAAGATTTTGATGTAATTCTATCGGTTGCTTTTTTGATGCACTCACATTTAGTGTCACATTTTCTTTCTTCAGCCAAATTAGGGCCATAGTATACATTCATTTTTAAAGCAATTATTTTTAATCAAAAGTATGGTTTATACACTGAAAAGTGCAAAAACCAATGAACGATCACTAAGTGAAAATGGCCATGTAACCATCGCCCAGGTCAAGTAATGAAATGTTACCAGCCCATCAGAAGCCCCTTTCTTAAGCCCCTACAAATTTATACCCTTTCCCTTTTCTCCAAAGTTAAAGGCTATCCTATCATCTATCATAAATTAATGTTGCCTATTATTAGGTTTCTATTTATAATTAGAAGCATATGGAATATACTCTTTTGTGTCTAGTGTCTCTTTCTTAGCATTATATTTGTGAGAATCATCCCTGTTGTTGTGTAGAAGTAATTTGTGCATTTGCGCTGAGGATTTTTTCCCACTGTATGAATCTACCATAATTTATTCATCCACTCTACTTTTGATGGATGTTGTGTTGTTTCCAGTTTGGGCCTATTCCAAATAATGCTGTTGTGAACATTCTTTTCATGTATCCTTTAGTGCACACGTACCCTCATTTCCATTGGATAATCACTAGGAGTGAATTTCTCTTCAGACGTCTTGCTTCCCTACAACTTCAGGAGATGAGGCCGACCATTTACACTCTCATCAGTGGTGGAGGACACTTCCTGTCGCCTCACATTCTCACCAACACTTGGCATTGCACTTTTGTTTTAGAACTTTTTTCAACACAAGATCACACTGTGAACATTTTTATGTATTAATGATGTTATTTGCTTCATTATTTTTAATGGCTGTATAGAGCAGGAGTCAGCAAACTCTTGCTATAAGAGGCCAGAAAGTAAATACTTTCAGCTTTGCAGGCCACACAGTCTCTGTTGTAACTACTGAACTCTGCCATTGCAACACAAAGGCAGCCACAGACAACATGTAAATGAATGAATGTGGGTGGCTATGTCTCAATACAACTTTATTTATAAAAACAGGTGGTGGCCAGGCTTGGCCCAGAGGCCATAATTTGCCAACTTCTGGTATTTATTAAATTTCCTAATTATAATACTTTTCAAACTTGTTTTTAATCAGGAAAAAAATAGTTAAATCTACCACAAACATCATCTATTTGTTGAATACCTACTATGAGCCAAGCACTGTGCTTAGTTTTCTGAATCTGGTTGAACGTCACTTACAGATAGGTTCTGCGTGGATCTTATGTTATAGTCGGGGTAGACTGACAATTACCAAAAAATAATAATAATAAAAATGAATCTTAACTAGAACTCAATATGTAAAATAGATACAAGCAGAACTGTTTGACTTAGAAATATAGAACTCAGCGTCCTAACAACTTGACCACTTTCTGGCCCCGCTAGTTCCCCGTGTTTAACTCCATGGCTCTACTGACCACAGCTTAGAAACCATGACCCAGTGATCAACTGTAGGATGTTGACAGTTTTTTATTATTATGCCACTCTTTTGAATATTTTGTACATAAATCTTTGATCGCATTTTCTACAGTATATTTCTAGCAGAGAATGTATGAAGTCAAAAGGTAGGGCTATTTTGAAGGCTCTTGCTCTATTTTGCCAAAACATTTTTCAGTTTGTGCTGCCATGAGCACTACTATGTGAGTTGTATCTCTCCTTTGCCAACATCCAGTACTGGCATTTAAAAAGCATTTGCAAATTTGATAGGTGAAAAATATTACCTTGTTGTTTTAATTTGCATTTCTTTGATTAGTTGAGTGCTGAACATTTTTTCATATTTATTAGTCATTTGCATTTTCTTCCTCTGAATTGATGAGAATAGGACATTTTAAGCATGATTTAAATAGAGTTTTGAAAAGAGATTAACCAATAAGTTTTTTCCCCAGATACTAGACTTTGAATTGGAATGAGGTCATGGTCAAGAAAAGATTTCTGTAGAACTCTCCTGGGTAGCCAAGCTTGTATTTTATTCTGGACACATTATTCTTCTTAATTTGATAAAATAATATTATTTTTTCATGTGTTTAAAAACACTATTTGAAATTTACAGTAAATATTTAAGTGTGAGAGAGAAGCAGCATGGTGTCAGCAGAGAGGAAAAATGAAACTAGATGTAATGAAAGTCACTAGGTATGTGCTATGGACTGAATCTTGTGTCCCCCCAGATTCACATCTTGAAGCCTAAATCTCCAATGTAATGGCATTTGGAGGTGGGACATTCAGGAGGTAATTAGGTCATGAGGGTGGAAGCTTCATGAATAGGATTAGGGCCCTTGTAAGACAAGATACCAGAGAGATGATCTCTCTCTCTGCTCTCCACCACTTGAGCATTCAAGGTGAAGATGGCTGTCTGCAAAGATGGACGAGTGCCCTCACCAGACGGCCATCAGTTTATGTATTCTGTTACAGCACCTTGAACTAAGATAGAAATCTGTATTAGTCGGGGTTCTCCAGAGAAACAGAACCAATATACATATATAAATCTCTGTCTATAAAAACCTATCTATATCTATCTTTGTAGATATATATAGATAGATAGATAGATTTATTATAAAGTATTAGCTTATAATAAAAAAAGCTAAGAAAGAGATTTATTATATTAGCTCACATGATTATGGAGGCTGAGAAGTCCCACAGTCTGCCGT